TAGTCTTTCCTCTTTCCCCAAGTGTTCCATTTTATTTGCTTTCTCTAGGTGCTTCTCATTCTTTGATCGAAAGGATTAGTAGCAATGAACCTACAGTTGACCCTTGAACATCATGGTGGTGAGGGGTGCCACCCCCATGCACTTGAAAATCATGTTTATCTTTTGACTCCCTGCAGAACTTCACTCATAGCGAACTATTGAGCAGAAGCCTTACCAATAACATCTTCACTTGAGTAACACAAATTTTGTGCGTTGTATGTATCATGTCAGTGGAGCGACACAGTTCAAACCCATGTTGTTGAAGGGTCAAGTGTAATTTACAGGGTGTATTCCTTAAAAATCCAGTGGACTCTATGCCATCATTGGGGAAGGTTTAATTCTAATCGATCCTGCTATGATAGTGTTGGATGTACTTAGAGTTCCATTCCAAAGCCCTTCAATATTTACAAAACTTGGAAACTGACAACCAGAAGTAATGGAACTAAATCTTTTTTTTTTTTTTTTTAACAATACATTTTCTCAATTAGTATTACACTGCTAAATGAAAGGTGTTATGACATTTCCTGGGTGAGTCACCGAATCTCAAGAACAAATCTGTTTACTCAGTACACGAAGCACCCAGGAGAAACCAGAGAAAGAAAGCGTTGCTTTCAGCTCCTGGAGATCTGCACTTTCCTTGGCTCTCACTTTGAGCCCCCACTTAGGGGTTCCCCCCTGAGCCAACAAAGCTCTGGCTGATGCTTAGGAAAACTTGTGGCAGACTGGAGTGAGAAGATTAAAATGGCAGTTACAGCAGAATTGACCTCCATGCTGAAACTATGATCTCATGTCTCTACCACATGACAGGGTGTATTCAAATTAACAACAGGCAAATAGGAGTGTTAAGACAGCATAATCAGGAATACTTAAAGTGCTAATGAACTTCCTTTAAACATTTTTTTTCCAAAAGTTTCTAGTGGTTCAATCCATCCAGCCTAACGTATGGATTCAGAGGGATGCTTGGGAGGGCAGCACGCGTGTCGTTCATTATATTGTGCGATTGAAAGGGAATGCTCAGGGGTCACTTAGCCTGGATTCAAATTCCAGCTCTGCCTCTTACAAGCAAAGGCACTCAGTGTTTTCCAAGGCTCAGCTTCTTTTGAGAAATGGTGATGATAAGATACATACTGACAAGAAAAAAAAATCCTGAGATGTCTTTAATTAAAGGCTGGAAGGCAGGAGGAAAAAACAAGAGAGGTTAACCCATTAACAACTACAGGGCAAAATCAAAGGAAGACTGTTACACTCCGGAGTGTATGTTGACACTTTGCATTAATTTGCAGGCTATTTCACAGATTATCTAAAGCAAATAGCCATGTAGCCGACCAACAGGTGCCTCTGCATCTTGCCTACACATGAACTTTCTGGACTGCTGCCCACAACCAATTGAAATGGGTAGTAACACTTCTTCCTTATGAACTATGAACCAATCCCAGAGCTAGCCCCACTTTACCTCCTCCCACTGGCTTTATCTGTAGCCGACAGAAATTCTTTCAAAAGAACTCACATCTTTCTTCTCCAAACTCGATGTAGAAAAGGTCCATCAACTCCAGGGCTGAGGATGTGTTTGTCTTTCCCAGATAGCCCTGCTGCTGGTAGTGTAAACTCCACATCCCAGGACCTGATACTGTTTCTGGCTAGCATGTGGCTCAATAAACCCTTTCTCTTAGAAAAGCTTTTAGCCTTAAAAAGTTTTTATTTAACAACACTTTAGAGAATTATTAATGAAAATTAAATAAGATAATGTATATCAAGTTCTTAGCTCAGGTTTTGCTTGTAGTATTATACAATAAACATCACTGAAAATTTCCCATTGAGGTAGAAAGCATGTAGAACTGGGTGCCTTTGTCCTCACTGAGCTAGGGAGGGGTGCACTGTCCTGCTCATCCAAGCTTCCCTTTTGTCTAAACTCCCCACTCCTCTCCCCTTCACCCTGGAACCTTCTCTTCCCTCAGGTGGGCCTTTTTCTGATTTCCTCTTATCTGACTGTGCAGGTCTTTGTCTTGAGCTTCAGGAAAGGTAAGAAGCAGAGGCATTTTCTGTATTGTAACCCTAACTCATTGTACAAAATCAGAGCAGATCACAGTAGGATAGGTTTGGTGTGTGTGTATTAGATGGTGGTATGAGCAATGATTGTGAGCTGTGTGTGCAGCACCTCGATTTGGGGAGGAGGTTCAGAATCTTCTGAGCTCCTGGAGGCAAAATTCATGACATACATTCATCAGGATGATGGCTCTTCTGTGATCCCTGAACAATAAACACTTGCAATTTCTAATTGCAGTAGCTTTTGAGTAGGGGCTTCTCTATTTGCTTCTAGCTTACTTTAGGTTGACAGTGATTTGGTTGTTTGTTTGTGTTTGTTTTTGTTGATCAGGGTATAAGGGTAATTTTTTCCCAAGTTCTTGTCCAGATGAACTCAAAAGAATGAAGCCACAGACAAAGGTGGTAGGTGAGAAGTACAGAAACTTTATTACAAGCACATACTACTCTGAAACTCCCAATTATAAGTTTCTAATTCTAAGATCTGTCTCTCCTAAAGAGGGTGGCCACAGCTCTTTGTCTTGGGGCATTATAAAGGCTGTAGTTCTTTGTCTCTTCATGACCCTTTCTAATTAGATTCCTGTGTTTTCCTCATTGGTCACTCTGCAAAGGCCAAAGCCCAGGTCCTCCTTTTTCTTTGCCCTTATTTTGCAACATTCCTCTAAACTCTGTGAAAACGTATTTCTTTTCCAGAAATTCTGTCTTTCCTTTTTCCTTCACATATCGATCTTATCTGTTCAAGTTGGAGTTACTTTTGATAGATCTTATGGTACCTAGCAACCTTTTCCTGCCAAGTGTTGAGATTGAAACCACTGGCTTCTTTGCTCAAAAAAGGTAAAGTGGCCTCTTTTTTTTTTCCTCTCTCTCTTGGCCAGAGATTTATTATCCCTGTGGCTCAGCAAGAGATACCTCTGTCCTTGGTTTATGTCTATTCTAACTGTTCAGGCCAAGATGCCTCTATCTTCTTTAGACCTCTCCCTTCCTGTCTTAAGCTAGCTAGTTAACAGCTCTTTCTTTATCAATTTTTATTTTGCTTTTGAAAAAATGGTAACAACCCAACAAGGTTGCAGCTGTCCAGTTCTGCAGGGAGTTTAATGTCTGGTCCCACAGACTGCAACCCAAGCTGATGTCAATCTCCCCCCCCCCCCCCCCGAACCCCCATCAAGTTATCAGCCCTATCTGGAGGCATCCATCCAGGAGAAGGAAAGTCCAGTGTGGGTGGAGTATTCATACCATCAGTTAGGCCAGTGGATGCTCTCCCTCTCTGAAGGTGAAACTGAAACATGTGGAATATCAGAATGCATCTCCTCACTGAGCTCAAGCATACATTTCACGAGGCTGCAAACCCGCGAATGTGCTTTAAAACCCATGTAATAGCCTCTCTTTTTCCTTATTTCCGATGGGAGGTATTTTTAGTTCCTGATGCTGAAACTTCTGTGTTTCAAAATATTTTCATCACTTTCTCTGTATCGCTAATAAGTCAAAACCAAAATTAAACAAAGCTGAAAAATATTTTTAAAATGTTTAATGAGCACACATTTACAAATGCAGTCAGGGAAGCATACAAAAATTAAAGGTCTATGAGCTTAAGAAAAATGTTTCTAGAATACACCAGTAGTGAAGAAATGTAGTCTAACTTTTACCCGTAGAGCAGTTTGGATCTGTTAAAAGAAGTATAGTTCACTATTTCCATCTATTGCAAACTCATTTAGTTGGCTGTGTTAACATGGTCAAATTGCTTTGATGGTTTGGGGAGGGAGGGATTTGGGAGAAAAGAAAAAGAAATTGGCTTTTCTGGACAGCTGGTGTGATTTGGAATCTGTGTGGTTGAGACCTGGCAACCTAGTTGTCAAAACCACTAGGGGGCGCTCTTTAACCTCTAGCTTCATGGAAAGCTTTTAAAAAATATTTTAAATTCTTTACTGTTGAAAGTGTTACATATGTTTCCATTACTACCGCCCCCCCACCCCTCCCATTTCATAGAAAGCTTTTATTTGTACCTGAATAGAGCATTTCTACTAGGTTATAAAAGTAGAGTCTATTTTACTCCAGGCGAGTTTTGTTACCTAGGAATAGTATTTCCTATTTTTAGTGATGATTGTGACCCGTAAAAACATATTACTCTGTTACTAAAAAGGAGCATGGTATCAGCTAGATAGTCCTCCACCAATTCTGTAGCCAAAGGGCAGGCTACAACCCTCCAACACTCGGTTGTTTGGCATAAAACAGAGGGGATGAGTAGGGACATTTTCCCACTGATTCTCTCGGGTGGGCACCTCACACACAGCTCTGCTCTCAGTCTTCTGGCTTCTTGTATCCTGGGCGGATCAAGGATAAATCAATGGTCATATGCTTTGTGTATCTTCTCAGTGAACACAAATTGAGATAAAATGCAAAACCCATAAAGGAATGATGAAACCAACACCCCTTGCCAATACCAATGATGCTGACAAGGTCACTTCAGAAACAATTTGGCAATATATATCAAATGTTACTAAAAGTTCTTAAAGTTTTGTAATCCCAATTCTTGGCGAGTATTCTGAAGAAGTAATTTGAAATATGGAAAAAAGTTGTAAGTGCTAAGATAGTCTCTGAAATGTCATTTGTTTTAGTAAAGAATGAATATAACCTTGCATTCTTAATTGGAGCAGTGGTTAATAAATGCCGACTTGATATAATAGTATGCAGCTATAAATTAAAATACATGTACCATGTAACTAAGAGAACAAAGCCACTAATACATTAAGTGAAAAAGGATGTAAAGTTGAGTATTCAGTATAAGTAGAACTATTTAAAAAAAGTTTTATAGAAAAAAAAATCCTGGATTATGGGTGATATTTTAATACATTTTAATTATTTTGTATATTATCATGTAGAGTATATGATAATGAAAGTTAAAAAAAGAGTCTGTCCAGAATAGCTCAGTTGGGTGAGCGCCATTCTGTGCATCAAAAGTTGCCAGTTCGATTCCTGGTCAGGGCACATGCCTGGGTTTCAATCCCCCTTGGGGGCAGGCGCAGAAGGCAACAGATCAATGTTTCTTTCTCTCCCCCTTTCTCTCTCCTCTCTGTAAGCATGTCGTTGAGTGAGGATTAAAAAAACAACAACAAGTGAAATGAGAAAAATAAATGGTTATGATAGAGCAGGTGAAAAATGTCCAACCAAAGCCTTTTGGTTATTTCAGTATGTGGGATGATCGTGCCTGAGGCTCTTTCTAGGTTCATGTATGAGCCAGGAAGGTAATCCTGGTGAAGGTCATCTTGGAAGTGGAAGTGTCAGCACAGAAAACAGAATTGTAGGCAATTAGACAGACATGAGCAGAGCAAGGACGATGGTCCTGGAGGTCATTTGAGGGGAAAGCCCCGATGGTGACCTTTCCTGCCCTGGCACATCACTGATTGTGCAATTTGGACCCCCTGGCCTTTCCTGCCTGGAGATAACACTGGGCCTCAGCTGTATTTTAGCTGTAGGCACAAAAATGCAGCAAATCAGACTAGCAACCCCATGGCTGGCCTCAGGACCGGCTGCATTGGGTAATGAGCCCCTGCCCTGGCAGCAGCGACCAATCAACCAGTGGAGACCTAGACCCTGAAAGGACACAGCTGGAAAACTGCTGAATGTCTTTTTGAGATCTTCTCCAGCCAGAGGCCTCCCCTAAAATCTCCACCCTGACAACCCTTTGGGCAAGGACCGAGGGGCTCTCCCTCCCCCTCCTCAGAGCACCCCCATGTCTTCCCCTCCTTCTCTTCTGCCCCTCAGGTGCCACCAACTTCACCTTCTTCACTTCTAAGCTTCAGGGGTCCTTCCCTTGCCTCTGTAACTTGTTTCCTAAGCCCATCTATTCTACTAATTACTTCTGCTATCTCTGTAACCTTCTAAATACATTTTCTCTTGGCTCCGAATTATTTCCTAACCAGACTCAGGTACTGAGGTTGCTGAACCCAGGTCCGGTCTGACCCACCAGTCTAACACCTGCCATCGTTCTCACTGCTCTCGATGGAATCATCCTTCATTGCAGTGAGGATCTGAGAAAGAACCAAGTCTCATTTAACAACTACTGCTCATGCCTTTCTGCCCTAAGACTTTCCATAATTCTTTCATCTGTGTAGTCACTTTCACTTTCACTATTCACTTAATTTCACTGCTTAAAATATGAGAAATTATAGAAGCTCTTTTTTATATTAGAAATTGATTTCATAGATGATTAATACTGAATAATATTTGAAATATATTGTTTACAAAGCATACAATACTTGAACAAAACCAAACCTAATCTAGTGCAACTTTACAATTTTTATTTAGCTTGCTATCTGGAATTCTGGTTTATTTAATCAGAATTCTTCTATTTTAACTCAATCTTTCTTATACCTATTCCTTGTAGAGGAGGGATCTTTGAACAACTGTCTATATTTGCGTATATCTGACCCATACTTCCAATCAATTGTGGTATTTTTGTTGTGTTGTGAAATAGTTTCCCACTGTTCACAATCATATTGGTAAGAGCAAAACCAAAGAGTACATTTGACTACAGAATTCACTATGGCGATATTTATAATCACCTTCATGTCCGAAAGACAAAAAAAAGAATTCCTTTTACTTCGTTGGCCCTCTTCTTCAGACGTACCAAATAAAGCCTTTATCAGTGACCACCGTTTTCCTGTCTTCTCTGTCACTCCTCTCAGCCCTTGAACAGAAAAGTGCATGTACTTCCCCTGGAGTTTGCAAGACATTAACCAGATTCTGCATGGTGTCCACAACCATGAGTGTGAAGCCACAAGGCTAATCTGGATCTCAGCCAGACTGCCTCTGGGACAGGCAGGACCTACACGAATCCATCACTAACCGGAGGTAAAAGGTTGTTCTCTTCCAATCCCTCCATTTCTTAAAGCCAGGCAACATTTCCTTTCCTGTTCACAAACTTCAGGCCACAGCGGGAGAAAAAAATGCTTTCTTGACTGAGTCCATTATTTTTCTATAAACATACAGTTCGGAACTCTGGGTGAACGGAACGTCGCTTTAAATGTCTGTTTGTCCATTCAGTGCTGATTTAGAGACTTTTGAGTTCCTTTCCCATCCCTGGCGGATCCGTGTGAGGGTCTTGTCTACACACGGCAGGACGAGGATAAACTTGATCACAAGCACGGTGCAAGGAATGATGAGTGCTAGTATGTAAGCCGAAGGAAGATACCACCTGAGACTGGAAGGACGGAGGAATCGGTCTCCGCCATATATCAGGGTGTGAGCTGTGCACAAGATCAGGGTCAAATAACCCAGTTTGGACTATAAAAACAAGAAACAAAAATATGTACATTAACACTATTTGCGTTTTACAGCAAAATCTTGGAAGCCAATGAAGAATATTGTCAACAACCACAGACATTTGAAATCTTTCATATTTAGAACACTGTGCAAAACTCTGAGGAAAGCACTAATCCTTCTTCTGGATGAAAAAATATTGTGCTTACAAATGACAAGGTGGTTCATCTTAACCTGGCTGGATGGGAAAGTCTCCCAGGAGCAAACTCTTCTGAGTTAGAATGAACAAGCTGCCTTGCCTTCTTGCTCAATGGGCACCTATTCCCTTGGTCACCATTTCTGAAGCTCAGAGATGAATAAGACACAGTATGGCCTCAACAAGTACTGCATCAGTATATGTTACTGACTAAATGCACATACTATCTCAATTCTATCACAATAAAGAGCAATAGCACACTTTACTTTGATCTGTTTTGGCCTACATACTAAAGCTCAATGTGTGTCTTAATGTCTTGAATGTAGGCGTTAACATGTCGACTGCATTTGGTCCCTGGTTACTATCATAGTAAATCAGACTTTTGAAATTGGAATAGTTCTATAAAATTCAAACCTAAAGTCCATACGAATGGTCTATTCCATTACACTGGTTCACAATGAGCATGCGCCAGACTATCTGGAGGGCTTGTTAAAACAAACTGCTGGTCCTTCGTCCAGAGGTTTCTGATCCATTAGGTGTGGGAGGGCCTGGGTATTTGTGTACCTAACAAGATTCCAGATGATCCTGCTGTTACTGCTGCTGCTGCTGCTGGGTGCAGGTACCACACTTTGGGGACCACTGGTTTGTAAGAATAGTTAAAAATCCCCTTTAATGAGGGGTCTGGTGGTTGATATGTGGAAAACAAGGATTTTTTTTTCTGTTACAGCCCAGCACTGAGTCTGGTATGATGACAGTCTAGCATGATGTGTTTCTAAGGTTTTACACTTTATTTCAATATGTTGCTTTATATATGAATGGGACCCTAATCGAAGATTCATTTTCAGAAGGAGAAATGGTGTCTTTGGGTTTCTCTTTCCCTTGCACCAAATCCATTGGCACAGAATATAATAGTTGTTGGTTGTCTTTCACTCTATACTTGCACCTGTGGCTCTTGGAGGAATCAGGAGTCTGGGCAAGGGATGCCCTGCTAGGAATCAGACCATTATGAATCTGCCTTTGTGGTACCAGTGTTTAGCCTGTTCTAAGTTGAACTTGTTTCAGTTACTATTTTTAGGAGATTGCTGGTGAAGTGATGGAGCGAAAGGAAAACTTGTGCGTGGTGTGAGAGAAAAACGAGGATATTTGTAAAGCCAGACACATTTTGCCATGAAAGTAGGTTAAATTGGACGTCCTTACCTGGACAAATCGGAACTCTCTCCAGTTGACGATGTTGCTAACGGAGGGCAAGGAAGTGATCCCCAAGAGGACGAAGAAGAAAAATCCAAGGACTCCCAAAGACAGGTATGAATCGCTAAGCCAGGCTCTGGTGGTAATAAATGGATTTTCTTTCTTGGATATTGCCTAAGAAAAATTACAAGCAATGTTTAAAAATTACATGTTTTAATAAACTATCCAAACTTTCAAGGGGACTGAAAACAACTCTGCATGGCTTATTTGCTCAAGGCAAATTAGATGACATTTCTTAATAGTCATTTGAAAATAATTGTAGAGAAAAATACACTTAGACATTATATTTGTGATAGAAAAAGTAATTGGTTCTGCTGGGACTTAATTATAATCGTTGACTCCAGGAGTAGTATAGGGAGTTTTAATTGACCCTATACATACTAAAACAAAGCAAACATTTACTTAAACCTTTTTTTTTTATCATATAGTTTCTTGTTTCCCAAGCAAAACTGGATGTTCTCACCTAATTACAGCAAAGTTCTGTTTTTCTGTTCTATATACTTATCATTTATACACGGAAAGTTTGGGTTCTTTCAAGTTGATTATATTGTAATCTAGCATCAAGTCTGTCCCATGAAAATTGAGAGAAATCAGGCCACTTTAATGTGATTCTCCCCCAAGAACCTCACATGTATTTGTAAGGGAAGTAATGTTGAGAAACCCACAGAAGCAACATAAATGAGTTATTGACTAATAAACTATGAGGGTACGATTGGTTGAAACCAATGACTTCCTAACTGGAGCTGATGTGTAGCATTTCCTCTGGGACTGCTTTTAAGACTCCCTGAGCTGATTCTCTTTGAATTTTTTTTTTTTTTTTTTTTTTGGCTATGTAGAAAACAGTATTTGCCATTTGCTTAGAAAACTAAGCAGTTGAGGCAGTCACAGCATTAGTACAGTTATAAACACTCTTTTGTAAATTTGTTTACATTTTTGTGCCACAAGTTCAAATGGCCCCCTTCTCAATTAGATGGTTGTTTTTGACTTCCTAAAAGAGGTAGCATGCATAAAAACAGAAGCTTGAAAATGAAGTGCTTTACATTTATTGAATGTACCCCAAAGGAATGTAAGGAGGTGTCATTAGGTTTTTTGAGACCTCAAATCTGTCAGTTTATCAGGATCCCAGTCAATCCTGGGAATACAGAGCTAGACCCAAGAAACCTGGGAATCCATCTCACCTTCTCAATGGTTGTATGAGATGTCAACTGGATCCACTCAAAAACAAAAACGAAAAACAGACATGAGGTGTCTAATTCTAGTTACTTTAAAAAATAAATACGCTTAGAAGACGGATTTTCTATAACAGTAAAATGGATTATCATGTAGCAAGATCCCTCTTTGATTGAAGAAATAGGAGAGCACGAATGAGTGGGGATTTACCTGGGTAGCAGTAAAGTTTCCCAGCCTCCATCGTACATAGTAACGGATAGGAATCAACAGTGTGTAGATGACGTGAAGGAAGGCAAATCCCAGTGCTATCAAGCCAAGCTGCTTTCTGCAGAGCATCCAGTGGTCAAGCCAATTTGGGAACCGCCGGTATTTTGTTCCCCGGTAGAGCTGCAGAATGGCAGCAATGACGCCGGGGAGGTAAACCACAGCGAGCAGCGTCAGGGCCGCTATGGGAAAGACACGGTTTGGGATGGAAATAGCGATGCGAAATGTCTGATCCTTCTTTTCATTCACATAAGGGTAGATTACGTCTCTGATAATACAGTAGACAAACAAGAAGATACACAGGATGGCAGAGAAGTAGAAGGGGAACTTCCACATGGGAAACAGCTGCAGGGGGTAGTCTTCAATTTCACTGGCTGCCAAGAGAGATCCTTGGTCCAACGGAGTCAGCCCAAGGGCACGCACTATATCCATCACTCTTTGCTTGGCTTTGCTGTCATTTCCGCAGACGAACACCTTGGCGAAAAATGATTATTTTGGTGTGTATTCTTTAATAATTATTTTGGAAAGTCTATCTAAATACTGCTTAGAACAGGACGTATAGTAGGGAACTGCTTTTCAAACAAGGATGCTGAATTAACATATTTAATAAGATGAAGTTTTAAACATGCACATGTGGGTCGGGTAGTTAAGTACCAGGGTTTCAAGTTGAGAGTGATTTTTTTAGGCACATCACGCTGATAGGACAAGCCTCTATTTTCCTCAGTGTGAACAGTTTGATGTTTCTTCTGTATTTGTGGGTGCCGCATCATTTATGGATTCCCGCTAATCTCAGTAAATAAATGGAAGTAGTTTCATACAAGGTAATGGGAGTGCAAAGGATATCCATCAACCATTTTAGGTGTGTTATTTTCTAGTACTAACACGAGACCTCCAGAGACCGACACTACTGGGTTCTATCAAATCAGAAGCTTTGCAGTCAGTGGAAAATGAATCACGATTAACTCCCGTACTTGCTCCATCCCAAGAAAGCAATTCATGGCACCTATTAGTAGAGTGAAACATTCAGTAGGCATTTTACTTTGAGGTAAGCGCACATAAGAAATTGAGTGTAGCCCTAGCCAGTTTGGCTCAGTAGATAGAGCGTTGGCTTGCGGATTGAAGGGTCCCAAGTTCAATTCCGGCCAAGAGCACATGCCTGGGTTGTGGGCTCTATCCCCAGTAGGGGGCGTGCAGGAGGCAGCCGGTCAATGATTCTCTCCCATCATTGATGTTTCTATCTCTCCCTTTTCCTTCCTCTCTGCAATCAATAAAGAAATATATATATTTTTAAAAAGGAATTGAGTGTAAAGTAAATGCACCATTTGATCTTACCTGCCGACTTGCGTCCAGTGCTCCTGACTGGAGAGCCCACGCTGAGATGGTGTTAAATGCTTTCACTATGTGGGCTCCCGGCACCAGCTGGGCAAGGTACTCTGCATTGGATTCTGGGTACTGATGGATTTTGAGGTTGTTGCTGACATCGACCAATATTTTCCCACGGAGAACCTCAGTCAGTGTCGTGAGAAGATCGTAATGTTCCCTGTGGATTGCTATGATTATGATGTCAGATTTCTGGGCCGCTTCGGAATAGCCCAAGACCTCTGCACCACTCGGCAGCAGGCTGGATTTCCTGGCGTTTCGACTTCCAAAGACAACGGAATAACCACACTGGATCATTTTAAGACCCAGTGATCTTCCAAAGTCTCCAGTTCCAAAAATACACACAGTCTCTTGCTCTTCTGGGGGAATCGTCGTAAGAGGAAGTGTATCTGTAGACGTTTTCTCCATGACTGAAAGATAATAGAACAAATACCCAACAAAATATGAATGCTCTGGGCATGGAAAAATTAATGAGAATTATCTCCAAGAAACAGTGGTTGACTGATGCTGTTCTAAGTGTCTAATGAATTCCTCACAAAATTTTGAAGGAGTAAAAATTGTCACATGTAGCCCAGCCAGCATGGCTCAGTGATGGAGTGTCGACCTAGGAACCAGGAGGTCTTGGTTTGATTCCTGGTCGGGGCACGTGCCCGGGTTGTGGGCTCAATCCCCAGTGTGAGGCATGCAGAAGGTAGCCAATCAATGATTCTCTCGCATCATTGATGTTTCTATCTCTCTTTCCCTCTCCTTTCCTCTCTCAAATCAATAAAAATATATGTATGTGGTTTTTTTTTTTAAGTATCATATGTATGTTCTAATATGTCTTGTTAACAAAATTATTGATGAAAAACTTCTATTGAATAAAGAGATGCAATAAAAAAAAACCAAGACACTTACTGGTGGATGTTTTAAACTGTGCATATGTTTTGCAATGATATTATATTTACTCAACAGAGTTCCTAAAGTTCTAGTGTAGTGTGCCTGGCTGTCCCCTCACTACTCTATTTGTTTATCCTAATATATTTTCTATCTCTTATATTGGGAATAAAATTTGCAAATAAAATACAGATTTGATCAAGTTGCCTATCTTCTATAATGAGATGGATGATATCTATATTGACATATTCTCACTTGGATCATCTTAATCATTGCAAAGAGAGAGTGATTCTGGACTTTATTGTAAATAATTTGGCAACCACATTCATTTATTATAACCTTTTTTTAAAATGAAGTTTTTTTAAAATGAAGATGTGGACTACACAGTCTTATATTTTTTATTCCACCTTTTATCAGACCTTGGTTGGGAAAATTCTTCAAACTCTTTGTGTCCCAATGTCATTTTTAAAATGAGAAATTGATAGTATGTATCTATCTACCTTGGAGACATTGGAAAGATCAGATGCATTCGTTTTAAGATATAGTGACATAAGTGAAGTATTGTAACAGTCATTTCAGATAGAAACTGCAGTTTACTTTAACACTGCTGTTTTGGCTTCTGTACTTATTTGCTTGCTAAAACAATAAAAAAGTTACTTTGATTTTCTGAACTTATGTATGCTATCCCAATCGATTGAATATTCCATTGTTGGTGGTTTGAATATCCCATTGATTGTAATCTTATTGGTTATTGAAGGACATTCTTCTGTACCTGAAAACCAGGACAGCACAATTATCCTACCTTGTCTCAGTGGCTCCAGATAATGAGTTCCGGTTGACTCGGTGGTCCCAAGACCAGGACAGCACAATTATTCTAAATTGCCTCAGTAGTTCCAGATAATGTGTTTCTGTTGATTCAGTGATCCATAGACCCAAAACTATACTTAATCTTTATAGATAACTAACTTGCTCAATTTCACTTCTGTAACTGCTTTGTGCAAACCAGGTTCCTCATTCCAAACCCAAAGATGTAATCGATACCTTTGTGATATTCTGCCTATATAAGCCAGATGTGGCCAGCATTTCAGGGTTGTGAGATTTGGAGTGCTTATGCCCCCTCGTAACCTTTTGAATAAATGACTCCATAATTTGACTTTTGGGTTGAGGCATCCTTTGTGAGATTCAGGAGAACATTACAACAATAGTAAATTTATTATTAATAAATTACTTAATAAACCATTAATTATTGAATGAGTCAATATAGTAGTTATCTAATTAATATAACCTTTATATAAATTTTGTAAATTAAGGTTTAATTTTTTGCTTCTATAAATGTATTTAGTGGAAATGCATACAATTTATCTGAAATAGCATTCCATAATTCTTAAGAAGCTTATGCTGTCCTCTTATTTTTCATAAATAAAACCTCACATGAAATGGCTTTAAAACATATGGATTTATGAAAACATTGATGTAAAAACAGCTCAAGTGTGAATTTCTCTCATTTATAATTCTTTCACATTTAATTTTAATATTTCTATTTTAAAATGCAACCTGGCAACCCAATGTAACATACATAGGCTGTTACTCCAACCATTATAATTAATTTTCACTCTTCAACCTTCAGAGACATCACTGGGCAAATTGAAGGTGCAAAACCAGTAACGAGATGCAAAATATCACTGGCTGACTTAATAGAAGGAACTATAGTTATTCCATTGGTCTTAACTCCTATCAAGTTATAGAAGCTCCTAGGTTGATAATCATGTTGGCTACATCTTGAGCTCCATATCATATCTTCCGGGGTCTATCTCCAGTGCTTGGGCAGTAACTGAGTGCTGCTCAGCTTCCAGTGCCTAAGAAGCTCACTTTGGGGTCCACATCTTATATATCTTGATTCTTGTCCTCGAGTCCCTCTGACACCTCTACCTGGGTATAACTCAGACATGTACAACTCATGGGGCTCCCACGGACCAGGACTCCATAGACAAGTACTTCCTTTTCATTCTCTGGCACACAGTTCTGACCAATTTCACAAGGCTCTCCAGAAAGTCCACTGGATCAGAGCATCACTCATCTGTAGCAATGGCCAAGGTAACATCTTCTTCCTGTCTTTCCCACCTTCCCTGCATTGTGCCCTCATGCCTGCTTTCTGAAGTCACTTCCCTAATAATCTGCACACAAGCCTTTGTCACAGTTCTTCTTGCTAATCAACATAAGAAAATGCAATATTATGATTACTTTCTTATGAAAAAAAAAGACCTGACCTAAGGTTACCATAACTGTGATGATGAAATAATTGCATATAAAAAGTTAGTAAGTATTTGGGGAAATACCCTAACAATAGAAGTACGTAAAAATGAGATGTATGCATGCTCTAAACCACAAGACAGATAATTTTACAGTAAATACTACATAAAGAAGGAAGTTACACCCATTTCAGACTATTTATAACTCAAAACAACTCCCAGGTGTAAACATGAATTTATGGAGGTAGTAAGGGTTCTTGCTTCAAAACTTAAAGCTTCCTAATCCTATTTTTCTCTTGGATGTAGGATGGAATTATGGAATAAAGAAAAGAAGAAAGGTGGCAAAGAGGCAGCAGAGTTATTGAGTAAAAGATGGGTTAAAAACAGTTAAAACATAACAGTGGTCTCCTCTCTTTCCTTTAGCTCTTTATAAACCTGTTAGGTAACAGGAAATGCGACAACAATATCTCCTGGTTTGGGAAATCACCAGGACTGGTTTTATCTCCTATAGAAATAGGCTCCTTGAGAGGTGGGCCAGACAGGTAATCTGATCAAACAAGGATGTTTGTAGAGATTAGAGGTTAGCAACCAATGTGGCAAATGCAAAAATGGCTAAGAGGACTGTGAAAGCATGGTAAGAGCTGCCACTGAAATGCGCACCGGGCATGTATGTGCACGTGTAATGAGGAGTCTTGCCTATCATCTCCCTGTTTTCAGATCCCACCCCAGGTTTTGGAAACCTGAGGAAACATTCTTAGATGTTCTTAACTTGGCATCCCATGAGGATGCTAGAGCCAGTGTGGTGTGTTTACTTCTCTTACCTCCCAGGGGTCAGACAGACATCACAAGCTACTTCCAGGAGCAGAATGTCCAAACAGGATTAGAGAAATTACATAGTATATTAAATGCTTATATTATAGTTAACAAATCAATGATATTAACCAAAAAACTTTTCAACTGAAATAATTACACACTCATAGAAAGTTGTAAAGGTGATACAAGAGGTTCCTGTGCATCCTTCAGGAATGGACAAAAATAAAATGGAGTGAGCATTACTAAGACTCCCTTTATATAAGAGTCAGGAGGCATTAAGGAAGTGGGGCCTGTGCATACAGGATGCCCCAGTTCTCAGAGCTGCCAAATTGCTAAACCTGTTGCTACATTCAGCTCCAGGCTGACTCACAAACCTGGAGCAACAAACCCTCTGTGGACACACATGCGGTTGACCTCCTCCTTGTGGTTCATTATGCCCTCCTTGAGGGCAACTTGGGCTGCCACCTGAGTCTGTCTCAGGGATTCAAATCTTTTAAGATTCCAAATAAACTTTTAAATTGTTTTATGTCCTCAGACCTTGATTAGTTAGCATCCCCAATGGCTTTATGTTATACAGCATAATGCCCCGGAGATTCATCCACGTGGGTGCCTGTATCGATAGTCTGACCTTGTTTATTGCCGAAGAGCAGTCCATGGCATGGACCTCTTCATTCGCTCATTTGCCTCCTGCACATTCTGTTTGGTAAAAAGCCTCTGTGTCTTCTGCCATTTTCTAATTGGATTGTTTGTTTTTCAACTGTTGAGTGTGTGTATAATTTTTTATGTACAGTATACTGGAAATGAGTCATTCGTCAGCTATAGGGATTTCAAATATTTTTTCCCCTCAATCTGTAGCTTGCTTTTTAATCATCTTAACAGGGTCATTCACAGAGCAAAAGTTTTTTTTGTTTTTTTTTTTAATGCAATTTAGTGGTACTTTTTGTGTGTGTGTGGATTGTGCTTTTGATATCATGTCTACGATTTCTTCACTGAGCTTTAGGTCCTCAACATTTTCTCCTAAAGGTTTTATAGTATTTTACATTTAAATCCAGTATCCATTTTGATTTAATATTTGTATAAAGTGTGATATTTAAGCCAAGGTTCTTTTTTTTTTTTTTTTTTGCACATAAATATCTGATTACTTCCCTATCATTTGTTAAAGAGATCATCTTGATTTCATTGAATTTCTTTTCACCTTGTAAGAATCAGTAGTCTGCACATGTGTTAGTCTGTTTCTGGATTCTCTATTCTGTTCCATAGATCTATAAGTCTCCCCTTGCCTCTGAATGCACTTATATAGTGAGTCTTAAATTTGGGTAAACTAATTATTTCCACTTTATTTTTTTATTTATTTTCAATATTCTAGCTACTTTGCCTTTCAATATAAGTTTTAGGATACTCATATGATGCTTATAGTTAACAAATAATGCTTTTTAATGTATTAAAAATGCAATGTAACCTATTCATTTTGT